GATGATATTCTCCAGACGTTCATAAGGATCACTTGAAAACTCATACCGAGAAGATCTATCCTCTGTGGTGTCGGCGCGTGTGCGGTGTTGTATCGCTCACGGGCTCTTTGTCGGGCGTGTTTTTGCACAGAGGCGTGACTTGAATTTCAGATGTTAACCAGTTTAATCATGACGTGTACGCCATCAAGACCATCAACTCGCCAACAATATCTACAACGTAAACCCCCGTGAATTCGTATTCTGCCCGGAAAAAACTAACATCTTCGAGACAACGGCCATCTCTCAAAGGAGGTCAAGACGAAAATCTGCGTTCGTACCCTCTGGACCAGCATTGTGTGCTGTCACTTCGTGCGTCTGCCTGAAGATTACAGACTACTCATTATGTGAGCGCTCGGTTCCAGGTCAAGCTACCCAACCAGCTCCTGCGAGACTTCTTAATATCATGCCAACAAAAATTAGGGCGGTTAGGGATCGTAAGCCACCGCGAGATGGCTGGCCATGAGACTTGGTCCTGCACTAGCTCAAATTGGCTGCCAAACGTCTTCTCCTGCAGCGATACTGGCCACACGACTGCGGCTATCGGCTGGTTGAAGTCTCGCCCGAAAACAAGCTTTCGCAGCAACGCTGGCCACGCTGTGTGGGCTATCGACCGGTTGAGGCGTCCCCCAAACTCCAGCCGTCGCAGTGAAGGTGGAATGGTAACCCTGTCTATCGGCTGGTTGAATTCCCACCCGAAGACAAGCTGTTGAAGGATCGGAGGCCAGATGACATTGTCTATCCGCTGGTTGAAGTTAAGCTCAAACGGTAGCTCCGGCGGTGCCACTGGCCACGTTATTCCGCCTACCGGCTGGTTGAAGCCTTCAAAGTCCAGCTTTCGCAGCGACGCCGGCCATTCCACGTTGTTGAGAGGCAGGTTGAATTCATACCCCAAATCTAGCTCTTGCGACGATGCTGGCAACGATATCCCGTCCACCGGCCTGTTGAATACAAACCGTAAGCGTAGGCTCTGAGCGATGCCGGCCACACGATAGCCCCATGTAAGGGTTGGTTGTACGAATACCCCAACGAGATCACTTTGAGCGACGCGGGCCACCTCACACCGACTAGTGACTGGTTGAAGGAATCACCCAATCCAAGCGTGGCAAGTGACGGGGGGAATGTCACCCCATGAGGTGGCTGGTTAAAACCCCCGCCCAAATATAGAGTGTTGAGTGAGGCGGGCCACACTACGCTGTCAAGGGACTCGTTCCTGATGTTCCTGACAAACATGATCAGTTCCAGTGATGCTGGCCACGAGAACTGGTTCAGAGGGTGATGCACTGCACCGAGAAAAGTCAACACTTGCAACGATGATGGCAACACCAGCCGGTGCGAGGATTGGTTGGATAAGCCTCCAAGCGTCAGAAATCGTAGAGACGCCGGCCATACGGCCTGATCCAAACCTAGACTGACGTCCGTGGCGATGTCCAACACTTGAGTGAAGAAGGCCACACGACTCCAGCAATCGACTGGATGAAATTCTGCCCGAAGGCAACCTTTCGCAGAGATGCCGGCTACAAAACCTCGCCCAAAGGTTGGTTGAATTCCCACCCGAAGCTTAAGTCTTGTAATGATAGTGGCCACACTATTGCGGCTATCGGCACATAGAAACTTGCGCCGAAAGGCCACCATCGTTAACGACTCCGGCAACTTAACTGCCTCAATCGACTGGTTGAAATCTATCCCCAAGTTCAGCTCCAGTAGGAAACACGGCCACGTCAGTTCTCCAAGGGACTGTTGAACCCATATGCAAACATCAACGTCTGGATCGCCGGTGGCCACCTCATGCCTCCCATCTGGTCGACCCCTTGGTCGCCAAATATGAAGCATTGCGCCGAAGTAACACCCTCCCCGCTCAGACCAAGCCTGTGAGATGAGAGCTTCCACGTCACACCACGCGGGCCTGAACGATAGGCACACGACCGACACGCCGCTGCTTCGCTCGGCGAGTCTCCCTCTCGGGAGGACGGGCCCACAGGGGAGTAGGCGTGGAGCGGTCCACTCTCACGTGCAAACTCGGCACGCTTCGACATGAAATGCAGAGCTGCAACGAGGCCAGCTGGAGTTGCTTCGTCGACGTATATCATGTCTCACCGCCTGTGACAACGATTCCTGGGCGGGGTCCTTGATTGTATGTTTTAGCAGTCGTCTGGTTCAGGGCGATGGTGAAGGCATCAAGGCACCGCCTGGTACCTTCGAGACATACATGCAATAACATCGGCCCAGCAGCAGACAAACGAGAACGCAGGTATTATATAAGTTGTAGCCGGGCGAAATACCGACGGTCGAGGTCAGGCGTTCAGACGTCGGGTGCGACATACACGGTAGTCCAGATAGCGCTTTTTCGTGAACAATTACACTACAATTCGACTCCCAAGATCAACCTGGGGATTGCTTTCTGAAGCTTTCTCGGCATCGAATCAGAGACACGCCCGTCCTGCAAGCGACCAGGTAAATAGGTCAAATACGCCATAGGGTCAACAGCCATCCAATCTACATGGCCACTGCCGCGGAAAACATCACCAGGGGGTGAAGCCTCGAAGGTTTTACATTCATTTCTTGACCTGAGAGGTCAGAGGTTCCTTTGACGTGTCATTCACGTTTCACTACCGTGATCGATTCTGCTGCGTTTCGTCTATGTACTGGCAAGCACATTGAGCTGTTGAAACAAAAATACGAAAACCCCTCCTTGCAGACAAGCCGTCACGCGGATACCCACTACTGATGGATGCTCTTCGGGTGGGTTTTACGTTTAACGTACGCCGGCATCTCTGGAAATCACGCTACGTTGGTCGCTGTTTGAACCGCTAAAGACAGATTGCTCTGGGTCGTTTATCAGGTTTGGCTTGAACGAAACAGCGACACTTTCCTATATATTTCGCCGTTCATATTTCTCGGAGAGGTCCATCAACATTTCGTGGTCCTTGCTGCCACAGATACTCCACTGAGGCTTGCAGCAAGCTGTGGCGAAGGCCAGTGAGGCAAGCCAGACTCTTTGCCCTACTCTGCGCAGCCCGCCGGCAACGTCACCGGCAGAAAGCTTTTACGCGTACTTGCTGTATGTTCTCTCTCCTCCGCCTGAACCCTCTAAGAACCCAGAAAGTTACAGGTCACAGATCCAGACAACACTCGTGTTCACTCATTGGGAGAGGCTGTACAGTCCCGAGGGACGAAGGCCGACTTGGTTTTAGGCAGAAAAGTGTCCCCTAAATGCATATGGGCCAAGTCAGATACTTCCAGTTCTCGGCTATGCAGACTTGCACCAATAAAGGGGACACGCGGCTTGGGAGATGTGTTTACAGCAAGCCAGAGGCCGAGGAGAGGATCACACAGCCGTATATCACATAAGAGTTCCAATCACACAAGCGTGGTACACCAAGGTGTCCCACGCGCGTTTCACACGGCGGAGCCTACTCTAGCGACGACTACGGTACATTTGAGTGCTGTGTCCCCAAAGTGTTTTCATTCGGGCGCCCAGCACTAAGAGGGTCAAGGGCTCCCCCCTCTACGGGCAGATGGGGGCAGGGGCAGACCCCGTCTGAGAAATTCCCCAAACGCGTCAATTCTAGATTGGGGGGTAATGAGCCGCGGGTGACGACTCAATACCTTGCAGTAGTCTGTGTGCGATGCTGTGCAAGGTGCGGGACACGCTGCTTCCAGACAGCAACGCAGCAACCCAAGCACCCGACATTCAATTACTTGCGGAATTATTGTCGAAACGATCTTCAACGACCTTGTACCCGCTCCCGCGGAAAGTTTGTTGAATTTAGTTAGTCTGCACATAACACGGCGAAGGAACACGAACAACACAACATACATGCTCGCCTCAGCTACAACAGCAGTACCGCCAAACGATCGGCACCTACCCGTACTGACAGACACAAATGAACAGTGGTGGTTTACACGTATGCGCTTGTTGTGGTGGTGGTGGTGGTTGCGGTGCTGCTGCTGCTGCTGTAGTCTAATGGCGATGACTCCCATCCATCGTTCTTATTCGGCAGTGCATATATGCGAGAATAACACCCTGGCGCCTGGCACCACAAGGGTTTCTTCTTGGTGCATAATTTTTTGCCCTTGGCCTTGTTGGCACAGCGGTTTTGTTTCCAGGTGACCCCTGCCCACGCACCGAAGCAACAGATGATGATGACATTCGCCACGAGCTGTGTGTATGGATGGCTCCTTTCCCTCGCCAGTGATGTTACCCCTCCTACCTAGCGGTGTTGCGTATTTAGCTTACTTTGTGCTTCCTCTGTTTCTCCTGGTTTGAACCGAGCAACTAACTGTGTGTGTTCCTGTACCTCTCGTCCAACTTCGTCCAATTCTCGGGTACGAGAGCAAAAATATCCCATGATTTTGGGACAAATGCCTGTCAAGAACGGCCATCTGTTGTCGGAGCGCGACGAAACCAGTGTGACGAAAGTGCCCGAATTAGATTCCTCCTCACAACCCAGTTAGTTTGTCGTAAATACAAAAAAAGGTGATAAATTATTGACATGCCGTTCCCCGGGGGGTTTTTGCGGGAGGGTCGCTCTACAGCACGATGGTTGAAAGAGCCCGATATCTTGAGCCTTTTCTTCCCTCCTGAGGATGAACGGAAAAAATGTCGCGCTTCGCGCTCCGCCGCTCATTAAACTTGAAAACCCCGCAATTCCCTAAACGCGACTCAACTCAATCAAGCGGTCTTGGATCGTTGAAGTCACAAAAATTCAGGTGTTCGAGACATTTCTCAGAAACGGTTTGCCCCCGTTTCTCCGTAGACGGGGGAGAAAAAGTGGGGAAACGCGCGATTACCGTAGGTCGCGTAACATACCACTCTTGGAGATTATTCCACGACATACAGGATGCCTATTGTAGGAACAAATGATACGTTTTCGGAATGTTCTTGACGACAGGGATCAAATGCCAAGATTTTCGGCATCGTCACTGGGTTTTGCTGCGGAGTAACCGAGCCTTGAAAAATACAGGGGTGTGGTATCTTACGCAACCCGCTGAAATAAATGGGTTACAATGTGTTGTGTTGATTTTTGAGAAGGTAAACATCACCTCACAGAAAGACTACCCGTTGGAGATGTAGTCTATAACCTCAGTAGAAAGGGATGGATTTGTTTCATTTGGGGTTGTGTACATTTTTTGTTTTCGGTGTTTGGTTTGGGATATTCTATTACGGTGGAACATAGTAGTCAAGACCAAATTGGAATATAGTGTAACTTCGTCAATACGGAGTCCCCCATCCCAAACTACAGCGCAAATTGACGACAAAGCACAGAGCTGTCATTCTACGGGAAAAAAAAAAATGCACCATGTCTTCGAGTAATATTAAGAAATTAGTGTGTGATCGTACCCGGCGATCTTCCAAAAATATTGAAGCGCGGGGTTCAAACGATGCGGCCCCAGGGTTTGCACCAGTGATGCATGTATTGTTTGAACAGGGTGATACAGCCATCTCAATTGCGAAATATCNATGCACCATGTCTTCGAGTAATATTAAGAAATTAGTGTGTGATCGTACCCGGCGATCTTCCAAAAATATTGAAGCGCGGGGTTCAAACGATGCGGCCCCAGGGTTTGCACCAGTGATGCATGTATTGTTTGAACAGGGTGATACAGCCATCTCAATTGCGAAATATCAAACAATATGTCAGCTTGCACTCAAGGT